TTTGTCAGAACACTCCAGGCTATGCCTCAATAACAAATAACCCCTGGAATATCAGTAGCTTAACACGGCAAACATTTACTTCGTGCTCATGTTACAGTTTGATGTAGGCTGGCTCTACTCAGAGGTTCTCCTAAGCCATGATTCAAGGATTCAGTTGCTTTAGCTTTTTAGCATGTTGTAGAATGGGAGACAATATATGAAGTATTTTCACAGGCCAGGCTCAGAAGTGATTTACATCTCTCCTGCTCACATTCGGTTGACTAAAACTCAGTCACAATCTTCATTTAATCCTTAATCCTAATCAGTCACTCAATCCTAATCTAACTTTAGGGAGGCTGAGAGATGTAACCTTAAGCTGTGTGGTAAATTCAGTCACAGAGACTGATAGCAAAATTATATTATATTATTATAGTATCATATAAAAGAGATTTTTCATGCACTAAGATTCACAAACACTCAGGGTTCTCTACCTGCTGACAAAATCCACTCCTAATTAAACTCTCCCAAAAATCCTTGTGGTTTCATCACATAAGAAAATAAAAATACTGTCTTTCCTGTCACCTCATTCTGAGATAAAATATTTTTGTGCATACAATTCTGTGCAATTCAATAATTTACCTTTAGCATCCCCAGGAGTGCTACCCTTTCTGCAGTGTGGAATAAAATATGAAAAGTTCAGTTCAGTTCAGTTGCTCAGTCGTGTCCAACTCTTTGCAACCCCATGGACTGTAGCACGCCAAGCTTCCCTGTCCAAACCAACTCCCAGTACTTGCTCAAACTTAGCCCATTGAGTCAGTGATGCCATCCAACCGTCTTATCCTCCGTGGTCCCCTTTTCCTCCTACCCTCAATCTTTCCCAGCATAAGGGTCTTTTCCAATGAATCAGTTCTTCGCATCAGGTGGCCAAAGTATTGGAGCTTCAGCATCAGCATCAGTCCTTCCAATGAATATTCAGAACTGATTTCCTTTAGGATGGACTGGTTGGATCTCCTTGCAGTCCGAGGGACTCTCAAGAGTCTTTCCAACACCACAGTTCAAAAACATCAATTCTTTGGCACTCAGCTTTCTTTATGGTCCAACTCTTACATCCATGATACTGGGAAAACCATAGATTTGACTAGATGGACCTTTGTGGACAAAGTAATGTCTCTGCTTTTTAATATGCTGCCTAGGTTGGTCATAGCTTTTCTTCCAAGGAGCAAGCATCCTTTAATTTCATGGCTGAAGTCACCATCTGCAGAGAGCTTGGAGCCCAAGAAAATTAAGTCTGTCACTGTTTCCATTGTTACCCCATCTATTTGCCATGAAGCGATGGGACCGGATGCCATAATCTTCATTTTATGAACGTTGAATTTTAAGCCAGCTTTTTCACTCTCCTGTTTCACTTTTATCAAGAGGCTCTTTAGTTCCTCTTCGCTTTCTGCCATAAGGGTGGTGTCATCTGCATATCTGAGGTTATTGATATTTCTCCTGGCAATCTTGATTCCAGTTTGAGCTTCATCCAGTCCAGCATTCACATGATATACTCTGCATATAAGTTAAATAAGCAGGGTGACAGTATATAGCCTTGACATACTCCTTTCTCGATTTGGAACCAGTCTGTTGTTCCAGGTCTGGTTCTAAGTGTTGCTTCTTGACCTGCATACAGATTTCTCAGGAGGCAGGTAAGCTGGTCTGGTATTCCCATCTCTTGAAGAATTTTCCACAGTTTGTTGTGATCCACACAGTCAAAGGCTTTGGCATAGTCAATAAAGCAGAAGCAGATGTTTTTCTGGAACTCTCTTGCTTTTTCAGTGATCCAACGGATGTTGGCAATTTCATCTCTTGTTCTTCTGCTTTCTCTAAATCCAGCTTGAACATCTGGAAATTCTCAGCTCACATACTCCTTGAAGCCTGTTGAAGACTGACAGTCACCATTACTGTCATTACCCCTACCATAGTTTGGCCTCAGGCCATAAAACCAAAAATGTGACCTTATGTCATAACATCTTTCTCTTATGACTGTAACCAAATGGCGAACTCTTGAAGACAAGACCTAGTTTGTGTTTCAGTGCATTTCTCAATACTTCATTCACTGTCTTATGTGTAGTAGGAGTCCTGAATATGTCGTATAGACAGTATACCCTATAAACTCATGCTGAATTAGGCATAGATACCACATTCAGCAGCATTTTTTATCTGAACCTGTAATAGAATTTTATATCTTCAAATCTGTCCTGTGTCTCCATGTTGATTCAAATCTTACCTTAAAGTCTCTATTTCCAATCTGTCTCCCATTTCATATCGTTGTTTAGGAATATCAATGACAAAGAGTTTATAGACCATAAAGTAAAATGCATGCCTATTGGCAAATTCTTATTCCCTGTGTTTTATTATTCACCTCTGAAAGTAGAACATAGCAAACCTGTCATAACAAATCACCAGGTGGTATATAACTCAAATTGGATATTTTTTATTGTCACACTTATAGTAGGGGAAAATATTTTAACCATTTTACAAGCTTTATTACAGGCCATCTAAGGCAGACTAGCTGTTCTCCTTGAGGGAAGATACCAGAAGACTCTTGGGGGTAATTCAGCTCCCACCTTCATGAGAGCTACCATCAATCAACCAAGCTAGTCCTTTGTGTATCCTCTGGAACCAAGGTGGGCAGTTTAATTTTTGCCTATAAAATACTGAGATGGGTAAGAAGAGGAATTCATGTCTTACTGTAGACCAAGCATCCTCTTGTTATTCTAAACTATTCCTTTAGCATCAGTCAATACATATAGAGACAGTGAAATCACATGTCAAAGTAAAGATTACTTTAAAAAAATTCAACTTGAAAATATTCCAGTTTTGAACAATAAGAATTTCAATCTATTATCAAATTCTCATGGAGAAATCAAGGTCCCAAAGTTAATATCCTTTATTATTTTAAGTTTTGTGTGAAGAGACAAAATCTTCACTACTGCTTTCTCATTTCAGCCAGAGGGTCAGTTGGCTCAGAACCCTGGACAGAGCCTGAGATCCTGTATCATCCTCAGCCTGGACTCTCTACTTCCTTAAATGCCTACCAAATTAAATTAATCTCATCAAGGCTTTCTCATGGCCCACAAGTTTAAATACCAGAAAGTTAATAGATTAAAATGTTATCACAGTGCCTGCTCCATACTCTCAACATTTAAAAACCACAAGCAAATTTCTAGTCTCAAGAACAAAGCTTTCAGTCAAAATGATGCCCTAAATCTCAAGGTACAGAACATTGAGATATGTAGCTGTTGCCAAGGCATAAACAGGTAACCAAGATCTCTGAGTAGAGGAAAGACAAAAAAATAGCATCCACACCATTCAGCCTTACCAATCTCTTTGTCCAGAGTCTACTCAGAACAAAACTTGGAACTTATACTTGGTCAGAATAAAAGCCATAAAATTAAGAATAAGAGAATTTTCTCTGGTGGTCCAGCGGCTTAGACTCTGCAGTCCCAATGCAGAGGCCTGGGTTCTATCCCTGGTTAGGGAACCAGATCCAACCTGCTGCAACTAAGAGTTTGCAGGCCACAACTAAAGATCTTGCATACTCTAAAACCTGGCACACTCAAATAAATAAATAATTTTTTTAAAAAAAGAATAAGATATTTACCTTAATTGCCTAGGGGACGATTTACTTGTGCATACTCTCAACTTTTCTTTAGAGACTGCCTTTCTTGCTTTTTCATCAAAGTTTAGAAATTTTCAATGGTAGCAGCCCCAGGCATCAGTCATTGAGTTTGTTTGTTTTCTTCGATCCAACATACTAAACCTCTAAAAATATCCAACTTTACTTTGAACTTATGCTCCTGATTTGTCGGCGCTGGGTGGAAAGCTGACAGAGCCTCCACTCTATTTTAAGCAGGCATTCTAAGCATAGTGGCTATGGACAATGCCTCTGGCAATAACTGCATGTCCCATATTTTGCAGTAAGCACATTTGCCATAGACATTTTCGCCACAGACATGTCACTGCATAATTAATTGGTCTTAAGGAGGTTTTGCTGTGAAAGATAAAATAATTGGTTGACAGTTTTTGGTTTGACAATTTGGTTTTAGCTGGTTGAAATGTGTTAGCATTTCTTCCAGCTAGTAACTTTACTGATGGCTTTACTGAGCTGATAGATTATGATTATTTAGACCAAGAGTTGATTTTTCATTTTGAAACACACTACATCGGAAGAGAGAGGCCCAGGCCCTCGAATGCTCACAGTTGAACCCATATTTCCCATAGAACTCCATAATGTCTGTCAACAAACATGTGACAAAATGCCAAGAACAAACAACAGATACAAAGTTCAGTTACAAACATGCATCCTAGTATTTGGAACTGATATCGCTTTTAATGAAAGAAGAAATTTTAGAGAAAAAGAAAACGTGCGATACTGAAACAGGAAATAAATCAATAAGCCAAAAAAAAATATTCAAACACTATGAACAAAAGACTTGAAAGACAAATGCCCACAAGATAAAATTATTTATTTGTATGATATTGCTGTGAAACTATACACATTTGAAGGTATTCATATATTATGTATTTTGCAATGAAATCTTGTTTATTTTGTTATTCATACTTCATGTTTCATTACATTCTTTTTAATTACCTCTTTTACTTTTTATAATTTTCTCTTTTACACCAAATTAGTTATGCAGCAAAAATGCTTGCAGCAAAGATGCTTATGGAGAAAGTACAAGAATCCAAACATTGATATTTGAGGTGTGTTACCGCAGCAATCATCACTTACCCTTACCAACATAGGGACTCCATCATAGAGAAAGTTAGGAAGTCATGAGTTCTGAGTTTTCCAACTGCACTTATTTTCAACCAAATTTGGTCTGTCCATATCTCCCAGCATTACATGGTCACATTTTGAACATGCTGTTCCATCAGATTAGTAGTTATATCAAGCCTGGACACCATCTCTATTGACTTAGTATTTTTTCCTTTAATATGACTCTGTGTCTGGCACAGTTGAAATGCCCTTTGAGGTCTCACAGTTTCTCACTTGTCTCCCAGATACTCGACTCTGGCCCAAAGAGAACTCGAGATGCCCCTGCAAGCTCCAATAACTCCTCATCTGTTAGCATGGCCTCCACTCTGCCTGCAGTGTCCAGAACCAGGACAGCTCTGGCAGCCAGCCCACAGGTTCTTTCTACCACTTCCAGACTTGGATGCAGTGCAAATCCATGGGGTATGGAACCTGGCTTCCCCAAGGATGAAGTACAAGAGGGTGTCTCTGTAATGAGAAGTTTGAGTGACAGGTAGTTGTAAGGAACTGATTAATTCCTCTCCCCTCCTCCTTCCAGAGATGACCCATGTGATTCAACAACCACTGGTGATTATTTTTGAAAATGTGGACAGCTCAGTCACTCCCACCTTGTATTTGCTTACCCTCTTTTCCTCTTTTTCTTCATTCTCCCTGCCTGAGATTGTACCTCCCAGTGAAGTATTTGTATTAAACTTTGCCTCAGGTAAAGGAAGCAAGACTGTTTGAACTGGAAAAAGAGTTCTTTAAGGGAAAGTTTGAGATCTTGGAGGACAGTCAAACTGATATAAAAGGAAAAGGGGATCTGGCCAACTCTAACTTCTCTTTGAGAAGCATATTTTCAATATTTTTTTAATTAAATTGTGTTTAAAATATGTAAAACATAAAATTTACCACCTTAAGTGTACAGTTTTTAAGTATATAGTTCAGTAGTGTTAAGTACATTCACATTGTTGTACAACCAATCTCAGAACTCTTTCCATTTTGTAACACTGAAACACTGCACTCACTCTCCATTCCTCCCTTCCCCAGCCTCTGGCAACCACTATTCTACTTTGTCTCTATGCATTTGACTGCTCTAGGTAGCTCATATAAATGGAATCACAAAGTATTTTTTCTTTTTGTGACAGGCTTACTTCACTTAGCAAATGTCCTCAAAGTTCATGCATGTTTCAAAATCTTTGCTTCTCCTTAAGGATGAAAAATATTCTATTCTATGAATATACCAAATATTGTTTATTAATTTACCTCTCAAAAGACACTTGGGATGCTTCCACTCTTTGGCCATTATGATTAATGTTTCTATGAACATGGGTGTACAAATATCTCTTTAAATCTTGCTTTCACTTCTTTGGGGTATATACCTAGAAGTAGAATTGTGGGATCATATGTTAATTCTATATTTAATTTTCTGAGGAACTTTCATACCATTTTACACTCTTACCAACAAAGTGCACAAGGGTTGCAGCTTTTCCACATCCTGGCCTAAACTTGATATCTCTGTATTTCTGTATTTATTTATTTCATAGTAGCCATCCTAACAGGTGTGAGGTGGAATCTCAGTGCAGTTTCGGTTTGCATTTCCCTGCAAGGGATTTTAAAAGAGATTTTTCAGTTGTTAGTAGTTTCAAACAGGTAATGAGTCCAAGGAAAGTCACAGAGGAAGAGAGGGGTGATGGTGAGAGTTAGAACTTTATTATCTTCTTTATCCCAGAACCAAATTCAATTCCAAAAATTATAAAGAGTAACATAATTAAGGGAGGTTGATCTAATGCTAAGGCTAACACCTAATACAATTTAGACACCATGTCTCACCTACTGTAACTCTGTGGAACTTAGTTTGAACTTCTGTAATTTTAAAGCCCAGACCAATAATCCTGGAAAAATACACAGTGCAGGGAACCATTGGTCAGCTATTAATACTTTAAAGGTTTGTATAATGAAGCACAACTGCACTGAACAAATCTATGCCTTCTTCAGTCCAAGGTAAACTGTACCAGTGGAAATTTAGCTGTATGGATAAAACATAAGCCAGTGCCAATCACTTGAGGCAGCTACACACAAGAATTTGGCTTATCAAAGTATCAAAGCCTACACCTATTGCCCTAGCTATTGTGTAAGGCTCAGTTTCTCCTGGAGGCAATTAAAATAGGCTCATCTTTTCAATAAAAAGTCCTGAAACAATTGGATGTCCACTTGCAAAGAAACAAAACAAAACAAGCCTAGATCACAACTTGCACCATATACAATATTTAACTCAAAATGAATACTAGATTTAAATGTAAATACTATAAAATGTCTAGAAGAAAAAAAGGGGGAGGGGAAACCTTTATATTTTTGGAATAAGCAAAGAGTTATTAGATAAAGCATAAACCATAAAAAAATTTGATATGTTGTACTTTATCATCCGTGGGAGAAAGTATTTTCAAATGATATGTCTGATTATGGGCTTGTAGCTAGAATATATTAAAAACTCAAAATTCAACAACTAAACTAAAAAAAAATTTTTTTAAAGGGGTAAAACATTTGAACAGATAGTTTACCAAAGATGCAAAAATGGCAAGTAAGTCATGCAGATTGAAATCACAATGTAAAACCATTACATACTCATTAGACTAACAAGTTAAAAACAAAACTGACAATGCAAAGCAGAGCAGGCCGGAATCCTCACATATCATTGATGAGAATGTGAATTGTTAGAGCCTTTGAGAATTGATCTGGCAGTATCATATAAAGCTAGACATAAATCATACAGTACAGTAAACCTATACCAAAGTATTTACCCAAGTAAAATGAAAACCTGTGTCCACACAAAAACCTGTGTGTGAATGTTTATAGCAGTTTTATTTGCAGTCCCCAAAAGCTGGAAACAACCATAGTCCATACATATGATCAAATACATACAATCAGTAATTAAAAGGCACAAACTATGGATACATGCAATGACACAGATGAATCCCACATGAGTTATTCTAAGTGAAAGAAGCTAGACTCAAAAGGCTTCAATAGTTTTGATTCCGTTTAAATGACATTCTTGAAAAGCCAAAACTATAGGGAGAAAAATAGACCAATAGTTGCCAGGGGAGAGGGATGGACTGCAAAAATAACGGAATTTGGGGGAGTGAGAGAACTACCCTCTATCGTGATTGTGGTGGTGATTAGAGACTAAATGTTTGCCAAAACTTGCAGAAGTGTATACTAAAGGAATGAATTTTACTATTGTAAATTTAACCTTAACTTTTTTTTAAGTGAGCAAAACAGTTCTTGATTGTAGAGCAAGTATGCCTCTCAGTCCAACCACGTGGGTGTGAGTGCCTGCGTGCTCAGTCCGTTCAGTCGTGTCTGACTCTCCACGACCCTGTGGACTGTAGCCTGCCCATGGGATTCTCCAGATAAGAATACTGGAGTGGGTTGCCATGTCCTCCTCTGGGGGATCTTCCCGGCCCAGGGATCGAACCTGTGTGTCTTGCACTGCAGACAGATTCTTTCACCACTGAACCCACCTGGGAAGCCTTCACTTAGGTGTACTATAATAGAGAGATTCATTTTCTGTAATTCAATTTAATATTCTTGTCCCAAGTTTCTATTCTGCTAGGTTGGTAGACAAACGTATACGTCTTCCTGAGACTTATCTCCCTATCTGTGTCTCTTCCAAGCTCATGCCATAGTTTGGACTCCATATGCAAAAGCGAGGTGAGAGGACAATATGAGTTACGGTCAGAAGTCCGCAGGAGCTGCTATATCTATTGTCACATGGTGCATGGCTCATTATTACTGTTTACCTCTCCATTGTTGCCCCGTCACTCTTGGGAAAAGGGGATTTTTCTTACAAGACTAGCTGGGTTCCAATTTTCACAGTGAGTTCTATACAGGAGGTTTCCTCTTTAGAATCCCTTTACGGCTCCATCAGCACTGCTGGGAAGCAGCAGGGAGGGGTCCTTCTGCCCTCTGGATGATAGAGCTTTCTGAATCATGCTTTCTCTCTCTCCCTCTCCCTTTTCCCTCTTTCTCTCTCTCTCCCCTCTGTTCTCTCCCAGCCCACACAGCCTCACAGGCTTACAAAGTGCCCAGAGGAAGACTCTGCTCTCTCCTCTGCCTGCTTCCGGCCAAAATACTTTGTATATATTCTTAAATACCAACCTTTTACCTACTCCACAAAACTCTCAAAGTTCCCCTGAGGGCTTAGGCTTTTCCATGACAAATGTCAGAAAGACAAGCAGGCTATTTCTGAGTTCAGCCCTTTTCCTGACTCCCCTGGGGCCATCAAGTACTGACTTAATGACAGGGGTGCAGCGGGAGGGAGGGGAGAAACATTGGTAGGGGAAAAAAGCAGATTGATAGCTTAAAATATTATTCCACCTCACCTGGATAAAAAAATTTAAAGGCAGTGCCTTTATTGTAGTTTCCTTTATAGGAAGATGAAAATACCTGCGTTAACAACGTCACAAGGTACCATAAAAGTTGGGATTTGATTTGACATGGTTAAAATTACATTATAAAATTATATTATTCTACAGAATTCAGAAACAGAATCATTTTTGAATGTAAGGAATAAATGTGGGAACCAAGTGAAAAGAATGTGCATAAAATCTTACTGCGAAAAACTGTGGTTCTATCAGCATTCTGGACAGTTGTTCTGAAGCGAAAAAAAAAAAAGAGAGAGAGAAACAGATTCTAAAAGCTAAAATTTATGAAAACTGTGCTACCAAACGTTAAGTAAAAAATAATCAGTGAAAAAGACTAATTAATTCACATATTACATGTTCTCCTTTTTTAATCTTCCCCAATGATAATCATGTACTTTGGAGAGGGACATCTGGAAACCTAAGCTAACTTAAAACAGTCTTTTTCTAGCAAGTAACTAGCCAGGAATCTCCATATTCTGAAAGTTGCTGTCAGCTTAACCCTGCCTCCAGCCCCAGATGAAGTCAGCCTGCCTTCGTAGCAGACAGTCCAAACAATCCACACTGGCTCTGTGGGTAGAGCATCATCTCCAGATGCCCAGGATTCAGGAAAGCTACTGTTCAGGTATAATGACGCCACTTACTGTATAAGCCAGTGCCTTGCTGGTGGGTTAGAGGGACCACGTTTAGTTGGGTAGGCAGCCATCCTGGTCTCCCCCTGGGTGTATATGGTAGAAGTGAGGTGGTGACTTCCCCATCACACAGAGTATTCAAGCAGGCAATAGATGACTTTGGAGGACACACTGCAGAGCAGATTCAAAGGCAGTTGATCTAAATGACCCATAAAATCTCCCGCCACCATAAGACCTTAGGATGCTATGAAATTCCCTGCTTACAAAGAAGTGAGAAAAAAATACTGTGTGATGAGAAACTCTCTTCCTACTTGAAGCCTGGCTGATACCATACAGAAATGAAAATAAATGACACAGTATTCAGGAGTTATATAACCTGAGATATAAATAATAGTGTACAAAATAGGGAATTTTTTTAACTTTTTATTTTATATTGGAGTATAGTTGATTAACAATGTCATGATAGTTTCAGGCACACAGCAAAGTGACTAAGTTATACATATACATGTATCTATTTTTTTCCCAAGGGAGTATTTTTTTCCATATACATCAACTCAGTAAAACACTTGTAGTGATACATATGATTCTTCATTTGAAGTAAGTTTATGTTCTATGACTGTTCTGGGATTTTATCATTTTCTGAATGCAGGAGAACAAACAACAGACCTTATTAATTTGTGTGTGTGTGTGTGTGTGTGTGTGTGTGTGTGTGTGCGCGCGCACGCGGGTGCTTGTGCATGCGCCCACTCAGTCATGTCTGACTCTCTGTGACCCCATGGACTACAGCCCTCCAGGTTCCACTGTCCTTGGCTAAAAAGTTGTATGACTCGTTGGGGAAAAAAGGCTAATATATGGAATTTCTATAGAGGAATGATGTTGCATTGCTTTCAAGTCTTCACGTTGTTGCAAAGGTAATGACAAAGTAAATCAACAGAGAAAAAGCGCAATTTGTAATAGATATATTATGAAGCAGAAGGTATGTTTAAGAGTATTTTTTAATTTTTTGAGCCACTGGGTTGAAAAGAACTAATATTTTCATTTTGACCAATTGCTCTCATAAGAAAATACATTAAATGTATTCAGATGGAGACACTGTTTCCAGCCTTTAATCAATATATATTACATACAGCCTGTGTGAAGTTCTGTGGACCCCAAAAATGAGATCAAGTCAGTTAAATCCCCCCTTTACATTCTTCTCTACAAAAGGTCATGTGAAGAAATCAAGTCTTAAAAGTCACGGGGTGCTGCTGTGCTTCATGTGGTTAGTTGTGTCCGACTCTTGCGACCCATACACTATAGCCTGCCAGGCTCCCCTGTAAAAGTCATAGGGTGGTGGCGGGCAAATGGAAAAATCTATGTATCTTTTTGGTCAGTTTTGTTGTGAACCTAAAACTGCTCTGTTTAAAAAAAAAAAATTATACTCAAAAAAAAAAATTCAGGAGATTATATTTTACCTAGATCCTTCTAGGAAAGCAGATATTATTTTTTCAAGTTAAAAAAAATTATATTGTGGGCTTTTAAATAATTTAAAAAAACTATTTTACTAATTTTAAATATTACTAATAGAAGAACACTAGGGGAAAAAAATTTAAGAACAACAAAAGAAAATTTTAATTAAAAACAACCAAGAACTAGACTGAGACAACAATTCCACTTGCTATCAGCTAAGTGAGTTTGTGTTATCAGCTCCTTTTTCTAGACTTTAGCTTCATTAGATAGAAACTGGGACAGTGATGACCACCTTTCCCTACCTATAATGACAGGAACACAAAAACCTTTTGAGAACAGACTTTTGGACTCTGTGGGAGAAGGCAAGGGTGGGATGTTCTGAGAGAATAGCATTGAAACAAGTATAATATCAAGGGTGAAACAGATCACCAGCCCAGGTTGGATGCATGAGACAAGTGCTCGGGCCTGGTGCACTGGGAAGACCCAGAGGGATCGGGTAGAGAGGGAGGTGGGAAGGGGGATTGGGATGGGGAATACATGTAAATCCATGGCTGATTTTCATGTCAATGTATGACAAAAACCACTACAATATTGTAAAATAATTAGCCTCCAACTAATAAAGATACATGAAAAAAAAAAAAAAACCTTTTGAAAACAACAAGGACATATACAAATGTAAGGAAGGAAGAAAGGAAAAAGCATGGCTTTAGGAGTTATTCATTCATTCATTCATCCAACAAATATGTGAATTCCCAACATAAGCCAGGTTCTCTGCCAGGAGCTAGGAACTTCATTATAAATGAAGCAGACAAAATTGCAAACTTTTCAGAGTTTACAGTGTAATGGAGGAGATAGTTGCTAAATAATCATACAAATAAATGTATTTAAAACTGTGATGCTTGCCACAAGAAAGAGCTAAAGGCAGGTTGGAAAATATATCATGATAGGTGACATGATTTAGATGGAGACTGGGGGTCAGGGGTAAACAAATCAAAGAAAAATTTCTCAGAGACTTGAAGCCTGAGGAGCTGACAGGCAAATTTTTGAGGAGAAGAGATTGCAGGGAGTATTCCAGGCAAAAGAAAAAGCGTGCAAGTGCCTTGAAGTAAAAAAGCTTGACATATTCAAGGCACTAGCAGAAGGCCAGGGTCACCACCATTGGTGGTTTTTGTATTCTTACTATCATGGTAATAATCTCATGCTATTTTTGCCAATGGGTTTCCCTGATAGCTCAGTTGGTAAAGAATCTGCCTGCAATGCAGGAGACCCCAGTTCGATTCCTGGGTTGGGAAGATGTCCTGGAGAAGGGGTAGGCTACCCACTCCAGTATTCTGGCCTGGAGAATTCCATGGACAGTCCATGGGGTCACAAAGAGTCGGACATGACTGAGCGACTTTCACTTTCACTTTAATTTTCATTTTTGAGAATAGGCTAGAATAATTATGAATATTGACACACTAATTTCTACTTAGGCTAAACTTCAACAAATGTTTCCAATTTAGAATATCTCTGTGTCTAAGGCAAACTCTGAAAGACATTTGAGATATCCTCTACTCCGTAGGCTTCAAAGAGAAAGTCAACCTGTTAGAATTAAGAATTTTAAAAAGAAAATTGATAGACCAGAATCTATCATGAGAAAAGCTAAGCGACCCAAAGCTATAACACATAAACAACAGCTGAAGTTCCCAAGGCTGGTGGTGATGAAAAAGAGAAAACAAAGGAGACACAATCTTGATCCCGTGCACCTAGTCAAGCTTTCATGTGGATAAGAGGAAATGTCAACTATTTTGAATAGACACCAGATGATTTCACAGTTAAGGTTTGCAGGAGGGCAGAATGTTCCTCCGGCTTCTTAGGTGGCACTAGTGGTAAAGAACCTGCCTGCCAATGTAGGAGATGTAAGAGACACGGGTTTGACCCCTGGGTTGGGAAGAACCCCTGGAGGAACGCATGGCAACCCACTCCACTATTCTTGCCTGGAGAATCCCATGCACAGAGGAGTCTGGCGGGCTACAGTCCATAAGGTCACAAAGAGTCAGACACGACTGAAGTGAGGTGGCACTCACAAAATATTCCTCAGTATACAAGAAAGAACTGAATAAGAATGGGAAATGCCTAATTGTGCAGAGAGAAGAAACTGGTACTCCTCTGGAATTCACAAATAAATCATAAATGTAAGTACATATTATATTACCCCTTGGGGACACTTAGAAAAGATTCAGATATCTTTAAAGACCAATGTAGTAAACAACCTCTAAAGGGTCCTCCAGCATTGAGAAATGCCATTGAAAAATGTCACCTTAACAGAAAGATATAAGAAACTATTCTCAGTAAAAGTGAAGTCTCATCTCTCAAAACTCTTAATCATTTAAGAGACTGGCACTGTGACCAAGAGTGAGGTGGCCTTAATACCATGGCTATCAGAGAGCTGTAGAGAGCTTTGTAAACCATAAATGGTTTCAAAAAATTGTTTATTAGTGGAGAGAAAGTTTTTATTCATCAGAAACCTTCTTTAGCATTACCCAATATGGGTTTGGAAGAAACAGTTTTATGATGAAAATTAGGGTAGGAGGTAAGAACCCCAGGTGGTTGGCTGGAGCAGAAATGTTCTGTAACAGGTCTGGGGAAAACTTATTTTATAATTTCTAGAAGTGGGTGGGGATGGGACAGAATTAGAGTCAGAGCAGGTGATAAAGGTGGAAGAGCTATGCAAATGAAGGTAATGGGGCAGAAGAAGACACTTACTATGAGATAAAAAGCAAGGGTGACCCAAGAGAGAAGGTATGTTCAAGAAAGTGCAAGAATTAATTGTTTGGTTGTATGTTGAGTGAGCTAGTCTGGTGAAAAGGTAAGCTTTGCTCATGAAAAAATAAACCCTGATCCAGTTCTTAACATTAAGTTCCTGTTAGTCTTCTGATCATATGAATATAGTCCTTTATTGGTACAAATGAGGTATTTGTTCTGGGATGCCCTAGAGTTTTCCTTAAAGAATCTGGCAATTCAGGATGAGCCAAGGGCAAGCCCTGACTTTATGTTGACTTAAGTATGATTAGGAGATAAAATGGGACATAGAGATTTTATTGGGTCATCTTGCTGATGAAATTTTTAAAGGTAACATGCTATGTCTCTCCTTAAGTTTCCCTCCCAAATCCACCCCAGGTAGGGGACTGGAACATTAGGTAGTATTTACTGAGTGTCTATTATCTGCCAAGTAGTGCATAAGTGTTTTGTTTTGTTTTTCCTCAATGCAAGCCTATAAGATAAATGCTATTCTCATCTTACAGCAGAAGAGGTTAACTCCTTTATTCATTTCATTTAGTCATTCATTTATTGAGTCATTTTACCACTGAGTGGTAAAACACAGTTACTGAGTTAAGCACCTCTTATGTGCTACTATGGGTGGGGACATCTACCAGGTCCTCTACAGGGGGAAACTGCCAGGAACTACTATAAAAGTCACCTATGTCCAGTACCTCTTTTTCTGAATAGTACCACCTCTATTTTGGGAGATCTTCTTCTTTCTCCAGTCTATCTATATGTATCACTAAAATTACCATTTTCTCATCTACCCCCTATTCCCTGACCACAAGAATTAGTCAACTAAATTTGGGGATTTGGAACTAAGAGCAAATCAGAATAAGGCCTGGTTGATAGCTGAAAGCTATGAGATGAAATATTGAGGAGTTGAAATGGGTCATGAGTTTTGCCAGCTGGAGGAAGTCTGTAGTGAAAGGGAAAACTAAAGCTGACAAAGTGACAAAGAGCAGAGACATGAGGCAGAGACTGGGTCCTGAAGGCAGTTGTATATCTGCCCCATTGTATGCTTGTCTCCAGGTGTTCACCTTTTCCTGAGAGTCCATGAGTATATCCCAAGATACTTGCTGGGCTAAACATGGAAGATATAAAGATGAAAAACTCACAGTCCCTGCCTTACAGCACTTTCAAGAGGTGCTTCATAAGGACACGTGTGTGGGTATAAGTTATTATGACATTATCAGTGGGGCGGGGAGGTGATCCCCTACATTGTGTATCTGAATCATCCAACTACTCATCTTTTGCAAAATCTTAATTCACTTCCTCCCTCCACACATGGGCATTTATGACTAAGAACCTGGCTATGCACAGTAATTGATGCAAGGTCAAGGGATCTGCAAATATTTTCTATAAGGGACCAGATAATAAATATTTTGACTCTGGGGACTATATAGACTCTGTCCCAGCTATTCAGTTCTGCTCTCATAGTGCAAAAGCAGCCAATATTTATGTGAATGATCATGACTGTGTTCCAAAAACAAATCATCTCCACTGGATTTGGACCATGGGCCATAGTTTAACACCCTAGCTCTAGGTGTTTGGAGCAAAGTGAAGTTCAGAACCATGATGTGCAGTGTTAATTGATTGGTAGAACTATGTGTCAGGTGCTGCAGAAACTCAGATGAAGTGACATACTATGCCATGAGCATCAGGAAGGTGAGAGCTGAGCTGAGTCTTTAAAAGAAACACAAGGTGGAGTTAGTGAGAGCAAGAAGGGATGCATAGGAAAAGAAGCATTTACAAATGCAATGAGCTTTGAGAGACCCTGGCACTTGAGAGACTGACAATTGTTCCCTACCACTGAGGCAAAAGTAATAAGTTAAGAGAGTAACAAAAATAAGAAAATGGAGAAAAGCAAGGAGAATATTCTAAAAGGATTGAACATACTAAGGGATTTAAAGTTTATCCTGAAAGTTTTAGGGAGCCATAGGAGAATTTTAGGAAGAAATCATCTGCCTGAAATCATCAGTCAGACATCATCTGATTTTTTTTTCTTCAATAATCTTTCAGGACTATAGAAAGTAGATGCAGGCATTTTATGTAGAAAAACATTGCAATTGTTCAGATGTGAAGTGACAAGGGTCTGAATTTAGGCAATGAAGTCATTTGAAGCTTTAGAATCTATAGGATCCAACTTGGAGATAGGTTACATGCAAGATCAAGAGAAAAGATTACTCATAAGACAACTGGGTGGAGAAGAGGGGATAATCATCAATATGGAAACATTTAGGGTACAGTGAGTTCAGTTTGGGACATGCTGTGAATGAGATGCCTACGGCAGATTCAAAGAAGGAGAGTTACTCCACATCTAAGAAAGGAGATCAGCTTTTACATACATCTGCTTACTGCATATGACCCTATGAGGTAGGTGCTGTTTTTATTTCCATTTTGCAAATGAAAAAACTGAGGTAAAGGAGAGGGCAGGGGAAATGGGTTTTACAATCATTCTAACTAGATTATAGAATTAGGACTTAATATAAGAGAAGGGCTTCCCTGGTAACTCAGTGGTAAAGAATCCACCTGCCAATGCAGGAGACTTGGCTTCAATCCCTGGGTCAGGAAGATCCCTTGGAGAAGGGAATGGCTACCTACTCCAGTATTCTTACCTGAAAAATCCCATGGACAGAGGAGACTGGTGGGCTACAGGTCATGGGGTCGCAAAAGAGTTGGACACAACTTAGAGACTAAACAACAATAACAACAAAATATAGGAGCAAGTGACAAGTTCATTTGGA